AAGATGTGTAAAGATGGGCTTTTTACGTGATTAATGAGGCATGAAATTTTGGGGGGAAATGGGGGCAAATTTTTCTCCATGCTGGAAAGAAACAACGGAGCACATTCTCATCACTGTCATCTCAGCCACGATCCATCCCCTACGGCTGGATGAAAATATTCACATTATTTGTAGATACAACTGATAGATCACGGCTGCTGTGATGATAATGATGATATCAAATGAATTACCTCAAGGCTAATGGAACCAGCGATACAACAAAGGCATATGAAACAGGAAATATGACAAACGAGACATAACACGAGATTTTATTTAGATAAAATGTTTTACTTCAGAACCCTGTAAAGTGATAATGAATCCAATCGTAGGGGAGCTGGAGGAGAATAGTTTTGACGGTGCCGAACCACCACCCTCCCCTGCCACAATGTGTCCACACGGCCCGCTATAAGCCCCCAGCACTAACAGACCGGGCCCAGTTAATGTGGAATGTCGGGCCAACGTTGGGCCAATGGTTCCAACGAGGTGCCAACGTTGGTACATTTTACCGAGTGGGCCCCATTTGACCAAATTGCATTGACCAGTGCGGGTGATGTATGTTAAAAAGATGCCCGTAACGGACACGGCGCGTGGAGACCTCTATCCAGCAGTCGATTGAGAATGGGCTGTACATATACTTGCATTACCGGACCACTCCCCCGAAATCCCCACCTCAACATTTCGTCTCACGACGCGCATGTGGTGGGACAAACATTTCGGGTGAACCTGAGCTACCATAGGAACGTACCTTCACCGGCCGGGGCGACCCTCAGAAGCTCCACGCGTGGGTTCACAGGACAGAAGTTGGCAATCAGCGAGTCGGCCTGGGCAACACAGAGGCAGCGGCGGCGGCGCGGTTACACGAAAGACAAGCTCGTTTTGTGGAGTAAAGAGAAAAAAAACTCAACGTGCAGTATGAAAAATAAGAATAGGTTTTACTCTTTCCAGCAATAAAACAGGCAAAGGGTAAGACATTCTTATTTTTAATACTTTGATACTGGCAAAAAGGTCCTATTATAAATGTACAGTGTTACGCGTGTAAAGTGGGTGTACAGGTAACAAACAAAACACCCCATAGTCACTGTCATCACCACTGCCTTAGAAGAGGATAGATGAACCCTTTCCCATTCGGAGAAATCTGGAAGTTGTAGGGTGGTTGTGGGGATCCCGTTCACTGCCGAATCTCGGAATGCGCAAGCGGTTCGGCGTTCATTTTATTTAGCGCCGTTGTTTTTAAAAGACATTGTTGCTCACTGCAGCAATGACCACTGCACTCTACGACAACTGGCACCAAATTGTGCCACGCCTTCCTGCGTGGCCTTATGGGAGTTTCGGTACTGATAAAGTTATTTTTATTTAGTTTTCTTCTGGTTCCGTTTTGACGACGTACACATACAAATTACACGAACGTCATCGGAATGGAATCGGAAGAAAAACTGATGACGTACATGTACAGCATTGGAATGGGTTAGGGTTGAGCAGGTCGACATTTCAGGCAATGAATGACGCCAAAGTCAGGAATCGAAACCAGGCCCCTTCTTGCTGTGATGCCCCATTCCATATTGTTTAATCCCTTTGCAGCCAAACCATTTGTTTTATTCTCAAAGCTGTGATTTAGCCAAATTATGATTTTGTTTTAAAAAATTGTTATTTCGTGCAATAATTAGTGACAGAGCTGATACCAGAGATCTGCTAGAGTTGAAGATCCGGTTTCATCACAAGTGGCCGAATTCAAATCCAGGATTTCAGTTTTGCCTTTATCTTCTTGTCGTATGGCTGTTGATGTAGATGCAGAGCAACAACTACAATTTCACATTAAGGCGGTCAAGCCGGGCAACCACGTCAGGGGCAGAGGAGGGTATCGCCGTGATGTCTCCTTCGTATTTGCGGAACAGGCATTGCGTTGATAATTGTTTTTTTACCCTTTTATCTGGCAACAAAACTGACACCTTTTTTTACAAGGAGTCATGTTTGCATAGACCACAATACCTGCAGTCGTAATGCAAACAAAAAACACAACTCTGATGGTGCACTGTCCTTGAAATTGATTGGTCCACACCCGAGACAGCTTTTCTTAGAGCCCAGTCTCACATGGTGTTGGACCTTTTGGCGTCGGCCACCTCTGTAGTCCAGTAACCTCTCGTCACGCACCTCTGGGGGTAGCTGTGCAGGTTCCTCAGATTCTGATGAAGCTGGTGACCCCACGGCAGGTTTTCGGGAATCCGAGACGAAGCACGCTTGCGCGAAAATCTGCGCTCCCGGAATCTGCGCGGAAATCTGCGGAGCCAAAACCCGAAGACGGCAAAAGCTAAGATCGACAATTCAACGTGTTTTTTTGCGGAGGGGATTATACCACACATCGGAGTTTAAACGGGAGTAATAATTAATCCAACATGGTTAGGATTCCTGAACATTGCATTGGCGGAAGCCACATTTTGACGATTTTTTCATAGGAAAAGGGGTGGTAGAACTGTCAGGTTCATGTCAAATATCATTGCAGTCCGCCTTTTTCCACCCAACACAGGAGGGAAACTCGAGTAGCGTTGGGAAGGTTCCTGCAGATTCATCGCCCCTGCGCGTCAACCCACAAGTGTCATAAACCGCCCACGCATGAATAAATTAGATTGTTGAACTATTCAATAAATACAAAAAGTCCTTTACCTTCCAACCCCTCCCCCCCCCAACACATGGGTCAAACGAGAGTGTTTTATATTTCACCCTGGCACGGCGTTGAGATTTCGCCTAATGGAATGATGACAGCCACATGGGTTCTGGTAACGTTGACCTCATTTCTCCTCCAACCAGGATAAACGTTTTTTGTTATCGTGCATCTTGTTTAACACAACACGTCTCAGGGCAGGCGTGGGGGCACAGCTGTGAGTGGCTTTTCACCAGAATTAACCAATTCCTGTCTGTGGGCTTGACGGCAGCGTTGACGCTCAGGGAGGCCAAATGCCAAAGTCGAGGTCTGCTCGCCACTTACGAGAGAGGACTCCAGGAGGAGTTTGTGTAGTTTTGCTTCGTTGAAGGGCGGCCCAGACTGCAGGTGCTATTTACGATGGTCTATCCTGCCCTCTACCAATTGAAGACAAGGGGAACTTCTTCTCCGTTTCCACAAGATTTTATTTAATAAAAAAAATCATCATCTTCCTTCTGTCCTCTCACCCGGATCCAAGATGGTATTCCTCGTCCTGTGCTGCCTTTAAATTACAAACTGTCACGTGGTCTACAGTTCGGGTCACATGGCCACAAACCGCACTCCTGAGATGTGTCTGGAATCTCCGAAATACGTGAAGGAGATGTGCACATCCTCCTGTTGATGTTCTGATGATGTTGCTGGTTATGCGCACGTCTTGAATATTCGAGGATAAAATTACTGGTGCACATCAGAAACACCATCGGACCCCTTCAAAATTTTACATTTAAAAAAAGAATCTGCTGATAATGTAAAACAGACCAAGGGAGCTTGCTTATGACATAAATGTATAGGAAGATTCCGCATTGAGCCACAGGGTGTTGGAGAGAGTTCCTTCAGCGAGCACCTATCACGTTTGACGGGCGCAACGTGTGGTGTGGCCAGCATCATGCCTGGTGGCCCCAAGTGGTGCTTGGTGCTGAGATTTACACAAAACAGCAGGTATTCATTGAAGGCTTAGCCAACCTAGGAGATGCACATAACAATTTCTGATATAATTTTGCCACTCATCTTAGCTCCAGATGGAAATGGAACTCGGCACTAACTGGCATACTACCGCTCCCCACAGCACAGACACACACAAACACACAGCACACGTAAAGCACAAACACACCAAACAGATTCCTATCTATTTCAACTTGTAGCGCCCTGACCAAGGCAATGAACAAAGAATTAGCTATTTGTACAGCAGAATTAGCGTGATGAAATGAGATGAGTTGATGCCGAGGAAGATAGTAAATTAATTTGATGATGTGCGAAATAAATGATCGTGAAAGTGACGGTGAGTGGTGAACGACGAGCAAGCATGATGAATGCGGAGGGAAGTTGGGAAAAAGAAGAGATTGGCGCTCACCTTCACAAAAACATCGCTTCCCGTTTGCACCAAATCCGTAATGGGCTGCATGAACTCGGAGTCCTTGAACAGGTCAAACGAGTAGATCGAACGGTCCAAGAATTCAGGCTCCGTCTGTTCATTGATTCCCATGTGACCGAGAGCGCCGTGCGGGTTTGGTGGCGAATTATTAAAAGGTAGGGGGCAGTTGAGCTGGAAAACACAAGGAGAGACACATATCATCATCATCACCAACAACGATGACGACGACAACGACGTGACCATCACTGCTGTCACCATGGTCACAAAGCGGCGAATTCAATGATGCACTGGAGAAGCAATCGATTTTTATCGTCTTACGTTGACGGTTCGCAGGATTCCTTCGCCCTCAAACTCGGGCACGTCGCCCGGATTAATCCTGATTTGGATCTGCACAAAAAAAAACCCACACATGGGATACAACCGACGATTAATTAAACTGTACGCTAAACGCATGACAAAAAAAGACTCGATCGGCCGTTCACCCACGCACACCACGGAGGGCAAGCGCTGCTCATGAGCACACCCGTCGTTATGCGCAAGCGTCGGGATGGACACTGAACGCCGCCGACCGCCTCTGCCTGGCTGGCAAGTTCTGAAGCTTGCAAGCCACTATTTGACCTTTCGGATCTCGCCGGCAAATGGGGCCCAGTTGCGCGGGTTTTTTGTGCCGATGCGGGGGCCTCCGTTCCTGACGTGTTGATGGAGTGCTCTGATCAATAACATCTGTACAGACCAACTGTTTTTATTAAGAAGCCTGGCTTCTGCTGATAAAACTCATAGGATGAAAAGGTTTACTCAACTACAGTTATTTAACACGAGTCTGGAAGGCCCAGTATCTGAAGGACATTTCTATTTTTACAGGGAAATACAGAATGGAGGGTCGACGCACGAGTTTTGTTTTCCTATTGGGGTAGCAGCCATGAGGGGTCGCCAGGAGTCACGCGAGCTCACCACATACGAGTTGCACAAATAAACAAAGGTCGACGATGACGTGCACAGCAATGCATCACGAGCGCGAGGTTTGAGTGTGGACAGTGGCACCACGGCTCTCGAGGGTGCAGACGGTGCAATTGCACCAGGGCCAACGGGGCTGGAGCAGCCCAGGCACCCAACCAATGACGTCAATTGGTCAGTGGTGGGTGAGTGGCATTTCATTCCTTGCCCCCAGGAGCCTCACGGAACACCATTCATCGGATTTTTTTTATTTACGATGGCGGATCGGAAACACGCAACACTGGCTTCCGTCGACTACAACGATCCCCATACATAAATACAATTCCGAGCGCGAAGGCTTCGGGGGAAGTTGGCAGCCTTCAGCGGGCCCTCCGTGCCATCTGCAACAACGGCCACCGGGCCCCCCCCCCCCCCCCCCCCCCCCCCCCCCCCAGCGGGCACCTGGTTGGAGTAGGAGATGAGGCCGTCCATGAGGGTGAAGTTGGAGCTACAGTTGTAGTAGTCGTGTGCAGCACGAAGTGAGTCTCATTCTCCATCGCCACGCACCGCTCGTCCAGCAGCGTCAGGCGCAGCGGAGTGCCGCCCACCAGCTGCACAAGCAGTAGTCGGCACGGCAACGCGCAGACATGGTCAGCTGCGATTGCGCGCGTAGCGGCGAGGCGACCCGCCGGTTCGTGGACCGGCGCTAAACGCGATTGGTCAGCGAACAGTGGGGGAAAATCAACGCGCGTGCAGCGACGATGACTTTGACTAATGACACCAAGCGCGAGTGACTGCGATGGGACGAAACCAACGAGTCTGAATGAAGACGCAGACCGAGGCGATTTACTCAATTATTGGAGACCACGGTGCAACCAAGGAAGGTCAACACACAATTGGCTATCTGCGTGTGCGTAGGTATATGAAAAGATTTACAGAGTTCAACGATCGCCTGACTTGATAATAATTACATGGGTTGGAGGGGGGGGGGGATATTTGCTCGCCCCTTATACCACCATCCATTAGGTAAGAGTGTGTTTGACAGAATTTTCAACTGCTTTAGGTCGACGAGACTAAGAGAACGATCAAATGAAATCCCCAAACTAAGACCTCAGACTACGATAACACTCCCAGCTAAGTTTGACACTGGCCCTGCCTGTAAACACTGTCCACCTGGGTCGTCTCACCCTCCACGTGCTCTCCACTCCAGCTCTACTACTACTAACACCCTCCCCAGTCAGCCCCCACCTCGGTGCCGAGTGGCTCCTTCTCTGTTCCTGCTCTCTCCCCCATAGTCTGGCATTTCCTTTCTCCGGCCGTCCACAATGGCCTCCCCCCATTTCAAGTCCGCGCTCAACGATTTCGCTTCTTCCGCTCTCCACTTGCGACTTCCTTCGCGACTTGTCTCTGTTGGTTCATTGCCGTGGCCCGTTCTCCCTTAGACCCCTCGCCCCCCCCCCCCCCGCCGCCCCCCCACTCCACGTGTTTCTTCCGTCACACAGGATCCTGGGATGCGCTCTCATATTAGATTGAGATCATTTGGCTGCCTGTACATCGCCACACGATAAGCCATTTATTGAGCTATCATTTGTGGCCTGAAAAAGAAGTGATCAGCTCAGACAGCCTTATCTGCTAAAATAAAAATTGTTTGGTTTTAGTTTATTGGTTTATTTTTTGTGATTTGCATACCTTGCCTATACTTTAAACTCCTATTGTTGTTTTGTATTGTTTATTGTTGTAACTTTCTGACCCACCCCTACTGAACATCTGTGAAAAAGAGCTTTATAGGCCATCAAATACCTCCAGCAGAAAGATTATGATGTGGATTGTGTTTATCCTTATTATATAGACATACATTTTCATAATTGAGATGTTAATTTTTACGATGATGATGACGACGGCGGTGTTGACGATGATGACGTTGACAGTGATGCTGCATATACCGACATTTGTGATGTTTGCGTAGAGATTGAAGGCAATGTTACCGTTGTGCTACAAGGACGACGACTATCGATCGATGATGATAATTACGACGACGTCAACGATGACGACGATTTTAATATCGACGATGTCGACCTATCGTGCGCGAGCGAGCACTCACAATGGACGCTTCCTTCCACACGCTCACGGTCATCTTCGTCTCCAGGCAGCGCAGGGTCACGCCCATCTCCACCTCCTTCTCCAGCACCACGTCCCCGTGGCTGTCGTGCTTCATGCCCAGGCCCGGCGGACGGTTGTGAGGGTTTCCCGAGTCAGAGCCGTCTCTCTCCGACGGGTTCACCGGCCACAGAATATCTTGCCCCAAAGGGAACGAGGAGAGCATTTTCTCATCCAACGGATAGATCTCCTTGCCGTGCTGGGACGGAAACAGCCTGACGTCTCCCAGATCAGGGAAGGCGTGGGCGGGGATGTTTATTTGAAGTCCTTCGCCATCGGGGCTGTGGGTGTGGTCATCGAGGTCTGGAAAAAGAAGACGTAGGATTTGCCATTAGATATCTGACCGAGAAGGCCCAACAACAACTAGGCGTGTGAACATCGGCAGCGGGGAATCAAAGGCAGCCAACCACCCCCTTGTGTGCTGCGACGGCCTTTGTAGATGCTGGCGAACAGCACTTGGTCCATATGGGGGATATTATTTGTCTTCGTTTCATGGGAAGCGGTAGCACAGTGGTCCGCGCACTGCGCTAGGAACACGGCGACCCGAATTGGATTCCTGCACATGGTCAACATCGGTGATGGATATCTAAACTGGTCATGGGCCTCTCCTAGGCCGACTCAGCATCTGGTGTTGTATGTAAACATCAGAACTGGGAAGACCAAGGTGGCCAGGTGTGCTGCTGGCCACACCACCCCCTCATGTGCCATGCGGACCTGAATCGATCCTCGCGAACAGCTCTTGCCCACAACACTGTCAAGGTCTACATGGGGGATCTTTGTCTTTGTGCGTGCATGTGGTACGTCTGTGTGTGCAAGCATACCAGGTGAGGGTGGAGGGTTTCTGTTAAATCCCTTTTGAGGTTGGAACTTGAGGAGAGGCACTCTGTCAACCTGCACATCTGCCAATTCTGAAAACAAAATCACACACAGATAGAAAACAACGGACAGATACAATCTTACACACACACACAGACAAATACACATGCACAATCTCACCAAGCTGGCAAGGCTGAGGCCCTGGGTTCGAATCCAGGTCTCAGCCACCTGTTATTATACCAGGTGCTAAAGTGTAGCGAGGTGATGGTCTCAGGTCACGAATTACTTCACGGAACAAAAACTCCCACATCAATTCTAGTCAGGACAATTTGTCGATTGAGTTTAACCAATCGACTGAAAGTTATAAAATCGATGACTTCGGGCCAACTTTAAAAATAGCAACTACCCCATCACATCCAGCGTGACGTGGCCAATGGTGTCGATGACATCACCAAGACCCCCCCCCCCCCCCCCATTTCCGGGTTATCGAACCGATAATTAATCCGTAGAGTCAGCGATCACTGGGATGACCGAATTACCCAGCTCTAATTACTCAGTTAAAACTATTTGTTTTTACCATTTAAGGCCCACTGAGATAAACAACTCTTTTTCAGAAGTGACCTGGCCATAAATGATAGTTCAACAAAGTGGCTTATTTGGAAATTTATGGCATCCTAAATACTATAAACGCATGATGTTGATTCTAAATGTAGTGGGGAAAAACTGGAGGACCTAGAGAAATATCCATGTAACCACAAGGAGAACATGCAAACTCCAAATATACAGGTGTCAGGGTCGGGATCGAGCCAACGACCTCCTGTACAAGAGGGGAGGTAGTTAACATCTCCCCACCGCAGAACAATTTAGCTTGTCACTATATTCCACAAACTCCATCTCCAAGGGCTAAACCACTGCAATTTGATAACCGTGCAATGCACACACGCGCATTGCAGGGCATAAGGGGTGTGCCCCCCCAGTGTTGAAATTAGGCATGTTGAATTAAGGGGACTTCAGGAGTAGTTCTGCAAAGCCAACTTCATGGGCCTTCTCTACCAAAATGTCACCCTGCTCACCATGTAAGTTCTGAAAAGATATCTCGCAACGCTGATAGCACAATTGCTCACAATTGTCTCCCCGCGCCACCCCTCAAAAAAATGTAAATCCATAATCATAACATAAATATTACATCTGTTATAGGTTCACATATGAGAGGTGAATCATAAAGTTTGTGGCCTGACAGGAGGAGGAATAGTGCAAGAAAAAAGGGAAAATTTTGCTAATCCGGATTTTTTAGCACTCGAAATGTATGGCTACAGAAGGATACTACATCTAAGCTGGACCCAAAAATTGACCAACGTAGACGAAAAGGGTTGCGGATAGAAGAAGACAACCTGATGATGCAGGCAGTGATGAGGAAACTGGCACTATTTGGGACCCATATGTAGGATGGACAACAGGAAAATTAAAAAAGTGTGTTCTTTGGAAAAAATTAAGGAACCAGAAAGAGAGGAAGACCTAACAGAGAATGGCTTCTTGATGACGACATAACAGATTGGTGCCACAAAGATGTGGCATTACTTGAGCATATTGGCACAAGACAGAGGAAAGTGGAAACGTAACGACACATGCAGTGGACACATATGGGCTATTTGTCCATCGGTTGTGATGATTTCACAACAATAGAATAATGGTCATGTTCTACATGCATTGGGTGGCAAGGTGGTGACTCTCATGCCATCGCTCGGTGCAAGAAGGGCCTAACTTCGAGCGCCTTGCTGTGTGGAGTTTGTATATACCCCCCCCCCCCTCTCGCCCATCTGTTCTGCATGGGTTTCCTCCCGTTGCTATAAAAAAAACTTCACACAATGTAACTGGTATTTGCCAAAAAAACCCCCCAATGCAATCGACTCAATTCGGATTACACAGGGCAATATCGCCACCCCTACTGCAAAACATTGGCAGGACCCTCTTTGAGACGAACAAAAAGAGTCTTGAGACTCAAGCGAGGCTTTCCTGGGTAAACAAGCACAATAGTAATAAATAGACACTCCAAGCCTAAGACGTGCCATTTAGACTCTGTCTTATCGACAGACATGTTCTTCACCTGAGGACGGCTGCTTGCGTTGTGGCCGAAACGTCGTGAGAATTATTTTATTATGCTTTATTTTTATTATTTTATTACTTCCCTTCTACGTGACTTTACCGAAAGAACCAAGAAGATGAATAGTAATACTAATAATGCATCCGTCAGCACAGCCAGCACAGCTCACGTGGGGTACCCAGGTCTGCAGGGATGGTCAGGCGGATGTGGTTGGCCTGAGCGACCAACGTGTAGGTTGCCACGGGCGACAGGCCCCGCCTCTGAGCCCAGCCAATGAGGTCGCGGTTGGGGCCCATGAGCTCCTCTCCTTGTATACGCTGCACCGTCATTAGCTGCTTGTGGGTGACGCGGCCAGACGTCTGGAAAAATGAGAAGTGGCGTTTGGGTCGAGGCAAATGGAATTCAAAGCAGTGCGATGCTCACCTGTGTGTGTGTGTTTGTTGGTGCGGGAGTTTAGTGGTTAGCGCAATAAACTTCGAACCAGGCGACCCGAGTTCAATTCCTGCTTAGGACCAAAAACAGTGAAGAATGATCGACTTAGTCCTAGGCCTCCCATAGGTGGACTAGGCCTTAAAAATGGTGCTATGCTTAAACATCAGCACTGGTAAAACAAGCGGCCAGGCGTGGTGCTAGCCATCCACCTCCTCATGTGCCGTACCGGCCTTCATTAGGTACTCGCGAACAGCACTTACACCCCAACATAGCTGATATACAAATGTGTCTATGTATTCGGCATTTATATATGGTCTCCGATAAAAAAATTTTTAAATCTCATTTTACATTAACGTTGTATTTTTCCCATTGGCTTTTATCTCATGACAAATTTCATTTGCCACATTCGCCTAAATGTAATAGGAGCATGTAACGTGCCTGTAATTCGTATAAGCCCTGGAGGGGAATTTTTACACGCTCAATTCGATTCATCTATCGTGCGCGTGAGAGTTGATTTTATCAACAAATGGGTGCAATTAACAAAAACAGCTCGACACATTCATACATAACACTGCAGCCTTAAAAAGAAAAAAATAGATAATAGGAAAGATGTGGAGCAATGGTACTTCTTCATCATCATCATCACGATCCATGGGCAGATAGCCCATAGGTGTAAATTACAAACTCTTTGGTTCTTTTGGTAAAGTCACGTAGGTATAAAATAAAATAAACCACGACGTTTTGGGCGCCGACTACTACTACGTGTTAAACTGACCGAAAGACATCCCAGGACAACTACCTCGAAAAGAGGACGATGTTCAAATCAAATCAACCTAAATCTTGACAAAGCTTTCGTCGTGATTTTTTATTTATTATTTTTCTATCTACGTGACTTTACCAAAAGATCCAAAGAGTACAAATCAACCTAGTTCATCACAGAATAACAGTGCAGTCTGTAACACCACCGGCTTTAAACGAGAAACAAGAGGACGATCCTGCGAAATCCAAGACAGGTGGCAACCCTCGAGATAACTGGAACGCGCGCACCTACGTGTGCGTGCACGTGTGTATGCGCGCATGCGTTCGTGCCCGTGCGTCGCGTACGCGTGCCGTGAGCAGAGGCAGGCCAGCCGCGGTGTGGATCACCCAGTTAACAGGCATCGGGCAGTACAGCAGCAAGACGACCTCCCGCATCACCTGGCCCCCACGCGGCCCCACGTCCACCTCCACGTGCACGTCCGTCTGCAGGCCGCTGCACAGCAGGGAGCGACAGGAGGAGGAGAACGTCACGACAAACGGGATATGACGTGGGGATCATCACGTGCCGTGGTCTGTGCAGCGCCTTGCCACTGGTCGAGAGGAATAAAAAACTTTCAAATGGCGAAATACACTCGTGTTGATGATTAAACGTCTCCTACGTCTTTCTCGTGAAAATTATCGGCACCAGCTTTGTCCAAGGAGATGTGTTTCGGTTATATGGGTCAAGATGTGAATCTAGAACAAAGGGTCTCCTCACTACACCAGGCAATAGAGTGGGCACTCATTTTGGTGGACCTGTGGTTATCACAGTGCGTTAACCACAGCGCCACCACTCCATCTTTGCTACGTAAAGTTAGCATAACATAAATAACTGGTGTCGTGTGGTCAACATTATTATGGTTGGACCATATTAATGCCAATTAGTGCTCGGCAGATGGGATGCAGCGGTGGCAAGATGTTATCTCCCTCGCCTGGTATGCAGGAGGTTGTAGATTCGATATTTGAAGTTTGCATTTCTACCCGTGGTTGCGTGGATTTTTCTCCGCCTCCAATTTTTCCCTCCATTTTGAGAATCAACGTGCGTTTACAGTATCTGGCTGCTATAAATGTCCATGTCATAAGCCACTTCACTGAGGCATCATTTGTGGCCAGGTCACTTACCTGGTAAAATAAAAAGTTTAGTTTTTAGTTTTATTAGGGTTAAAAAGGGGATGTGGTGCGTGCGTTGCCACATCCTCACGTCAAAGGACCGCTGCTTGGTGCTTCCACCTCCACAATGTGGACATCCTGGCCGGGGTGGAGGTCGGGTGCCGTGTGGGGCCTGGGCGACCTCTGACAGCCGCTGACCTCCTGCCTCTTCTCCAGCGAGACGAGGAAGCGCTGCGAGAGGAAGCCGTCCCGTGGCGAGCACGTGCCGAGCTGCGGGGGGTCTGTGAGGCAGAGAGAGCGCACACGCGGGAAGCAACCCACTTAAGCACGTGGGCTGGTGAAATGGAGAGATGCTCAAATTCTGGGAGGCTCAACCTAGACACATGGTTCGCTGGTAGCCCCTCCCCTCCATCAACCCCACCCACTCGGTCGCTAGCCCCATTCACGAAGTGAAGCAGCATCCTCCTCCCCCTGTCTGATGCTGGCCTCACCTCCTCTTGCGCATAGACCCCGCCCACTCCAGTCAACCCTGACCAGGTAGCTCCACCCACTGCCCAAGTAGCTCCACCCACTACTCAGGTAGCTCCACCCACTACTCAGGGAGCCCAACCCACGAATGAGGAAGCCCCGCCCACTTTCCAGATTGCCTCGTCCACTGCTCGGGCAGCCCTGCCCACAGCTTGCCCACCGGCCTCATGAGTTGAATATGAACCATGGTATTTAGTAGCTTCTGCATGGATATTAAAAAAAACCATGATAGGCAAACAAAGAGGGAAAATATATATATATTTTTTATGGGAGTGAGCTGCATAGGAGAACCTCACCCGCACTCAGCCGGATGTAGAAGTGGTTCGCCTGGTCGGCATGGCGATATGATGTGACTGCACCAAGATGTCTGACACTCCAGTCCAGCAAGGCCTTGCCCGAGCCGACAGGGCTGGGCTCAAACACGCGCACGCACGCCCCATGCACATGCACGCTCTCCGAGGCCTGTGCAACAACACAAAGCGGGCATTTAATGCATGCGGACGGTCAAACATACAACAGCGTCTCAACGACGGTGCGCATGCTGGAAAGCCCATTTTGACCGAGAAACCAAGTAGGCATATTCGGCTAAATTAAACGAGCAATCGTAACAGCAATTTTAACACGCTCCTGACGATTGGATGTTCGGATCAGAACTCGTATTAAACAATGCCACGAACCTTTAATAACCTGGCACGTTTGTTCACGTAACAAATGTATTAATTGGTCATGTTAGATGGAGGAGGGATTACGACATACATTTTTTTACTTTACTTACACAATCTGACCCAAAATCAATTACGAATCAATCATGACAGAAATCTTAGTAAGTAAAACAATGTTCTTGAAGTAAATGTGCAAGGTTGGTCAAACGTTCCATATCTACCGTTCACAAATGTAGACATTTCAATGAAAAGAATGGACATCGAAAGCAACTCTTACTTTGGTTTGTTATGTCTGTGTTTAAACAGCATTGCAATGTTGTGCTTTCGTTAGTGTAAAGTTACTACGGTATCGGCACGAGTAAAAATTACAGTTGCTATCGAAGAACACCATTGATTTTCAGTATCAGATTTGACTGTGGTGCACTTAAAAGTCCATGAGCTTTTTAATGAAATAAAAAAAACTAAAAAAATTTAATGAAAGGCCTCACGTGGACAATGCAGTCGAGGAGCCCGGTGAGGCCGTCCGTTTTGATTCGCCAAGCGGTGTCACCTGGCGACGCCAGGACGAGTGTCATTGGCCGGAGCGAGTCTCTGGCCCCACCCTCGGTGCTGATGTCAACCGTCACCTGAACGTTCATGGAGGACACAACAACAACAACAAGCCATCAGCACGACGGTTGCCAGCTGTGGTTTATTGGCAAGAAACACCACCGCCTAACACGTTGCCAATGGTTCGCCTGGCCGGCATGGCGATATGATGTGGCCGAGTCCCACAGCTCTCTCCGTTGCCATTCGTCTAATCAGTATTAAAGTGGATAGACCACAATGTAGGCCTATGCATTGCAAGGCAGAGTTGACCTCGACATACATCACTGTTTGCCACCAGTGTAATACACAGGGCTTGAACTTGGCTCACCTGGGATGGAGGCGCAAGTACACGAATCACTGCACCGCCACTCCCCAAACAAAGACAAAGGTCACCCGTATAGGTTCAAAGACTGGTGAGGCAAGTGCTGTTAGCGAGCACCTATGAAGGCCGGTATGTGACGCTGTTTACAAACCGTACCAGGTACTCATTCGAGGCCGAGCCAACCTAGGGGATGCCCAGAACAGGTTCAAATAATCGTCACTGGTGTTGTCCATGAGAGGGAAACGAACCTGGGTCGCTGGGATCGTAGCACAGAGTGCTAACCGCTACACTACCGCCGCTCCCCACACACACAGTCTCTGCGCTCGCAGCGTAAATACCACGTGAAACGCAGCTTTGCATCATCACCAAGTTGTTTACGTACGAGTCAACTCAAAGTATACCGTTGATTAATAACACTTTAGAGGTTAATTAAACCGCGCGTTTTCTTCCCAGGGGGTAGAGGCTGCAGGGCGCTCTCTGGCACGCCCGCTCACGCCCGTGCACACCCGCGTGCACCTGCACGGCGAGAAGGTCCCAGGTGAACACAGGAAGCACTGGCCCGGCCGTGAACCCGCGCACACATCCATCAATGCACGCGGCACACGCGCACGGCTGCTCGAGTACCTAGACGCTGCCGTGGCGTATCGGTCAGCGCGAACTCTGGACAGAGGTCACAGGAGGTTTGAACTCTCGGCACGATGGTGGAATGAATGGGTACATTATTATTATTTTTTAAATCCTCCATGGCCTGTGTCTACCCCAGCAGCATAAACAGGTCGCAGCACAGTTAAGTCAATCGGCAGGTTGCGTGTGGTAGGGTAAAATGTGCGGACTCCCACCGCTTCCAAGACGTCTAGCCAGCGTGGAAGATGAGGCCAAATGCCCTCGAGTGGAGGCGCACTTCTGCTGGCAGTGGTGTGATCAACCAATTTCAGGCCTTTTTTGTTCATATCGTCACATTGTCAGAATAGATTATATGTGTAGTTGACTGGGAATGTCACTGTGTGGTGCCGGGCTTGTGAGGCCACGGCGGAATGTCTACTATTGTGTGTACACCCCGGACACGGGGTGTAGTACCAGCCCTAGTGGGAGCTTGGGTGAGCGCTGGTTAAGTGCGATGGCCATGCACAGCGTGCAGTGCGGGCTCCCGTTGAGAGAGCGAGAGAGTGTCAGCCAGCTGGGGTTATGTTGGGGGCATGATACTCTGGCTGACCTGGGGACACGTGATTGGATAATACTGGAGGGGGACCACCGGCTAAGGGGGCCAATGGTTGGTCACGTGGTCCGGGAAGAACTCTCGAGAGCCTTCGGGCAAGGCGGCGAGAGAGATCGAGAAGGTGGGCGGGGCGAGAGGCGGAGCCAGCCCCAGCCCGGCCCGATATAAGGGGGGGGGCCCTGTGAGGGGCTCGGGGTTCTTTCTGTTGGAGAGGCAGGAGATCCACGTCAAGCTTGAAGAAGCCTCCAGCCACACGGTCCGGGACCCAGCTTGTGGTCCGGACTGGGATAGTGGAACCGTGTCTAGTTCTGCCGTAGCGTGGTTAGTTGGGTGGTCACCACCCGAGAGTGTTGTGTTAATAGCCTGGAGTATGTTGTGTTAATAGCCTGGAGTATGTTGTGCAAATAGTTGAATAAAACGTGTTGTTCCCAAGACAACGTCTGCGACTCAGTTGGACTCACTACATATGTAAATTAACTTCTGGTTCAAGAGACTATATAGGCAAATTAGTGTCTCTCACCTCTGTCCTGTCGGCATCTCGCATTTCACTCCATCTCTATTGGTCTACGTTTCTCTTATTTCGATACACATCTATCTCTTATATCTCTTCTTGCATCTCACGACGAGCGGATATATTAAATGGGCCCCCGTTTAGCCTGAACAGACTGTTGGGGTGGGTGGCCAGTACCACGCCTGGCCACTTTTGTCTTTCCAGTGGCGATGTTCACACAATCGCACAAGGTACTCATTTGAGGCCGAGTCAACCTAAGGGAGACCCAGGACTGATTCAGAAAATTGTCACTGGTGTTGGCCATGAGCAGGAATCAAACTGGGGTCGCCGGGTTTGTAGCACAGCACGATAACCGCTGCACTACTGTTCACACACGTTTACAAGCATGCACAATCACTCTCAAACCCACATTCACATTCGCACCTACACACATGCATCCACACTCACACCCACAAGCGCACACCGACACCCACAATGTTGGCCAAGAGCAGAAATCGAACTCTGATCGGCAGGTTTCGTAGCACAGCACGCGAACCACCACACTACATCTCCCCCACGCAACAAAATAACAACAACCGTCATTCGCAACCAAATGGCGGTCACATCATCATGGCAATTGTGCCAGGCTAAGTGCACTTTAAGGCCACGTGAAGTACTGAATGCCTGCTGGCAGGGGGTCACGGGACAGACCCAGGTGCCATGCGTTGACTGATGCACCCAGACACACGCACACACACGCAACGAATGCCCACCTCTCCGTCTGCCGGGGCGCTCTCAAGGCTCATGACGTGCACGCTGCGTGTGCCCGGCGTGTCCCACGCCGCCCGCATCTTCGGCGAGGAGTGGGAGCCCGCGGAGTCCCCGGCTTCGCAGCCCGACGAGATGAGGAACTCCTCCATGGAGGCCGACACCGGGTGGCCCTGGAACCCCGGCGGTGAAGTGACGCACGGCGCCGCTTCTACAAAGACAAAGACAGCCTGAACAGACTGTTGGGGCAAGTGCTGTTAGCGAGCACTTATGAAGGCCGGCATGGCACACGAGGGGGTGGGTGGTCAGCGCCACGCCTGGCTGCCTTTGTCTCCCCAGTGGTAATGTTTACATGACCAAGCCTCACTTGAGGCCGAGTCGACCATGTACACAAGAACACAACGGCATATGCAACTTCACACACGTGTGTTGTACCAAGTCACACTCGGGCATCCATACCGTCACAGGATTTTATAAACCGGCGCAAGAGACACGAAAACATCCGAACGTGCCGTGGCACTAATCAAATCTAATTTATCCTACGGTAAAGTTAAACTCGTGCATGCTAGGAATTACGTTGGGAGAGAGAAAGGAGGAACACGTGGATGAGAGAACATACGCAGGTGAAGGACATCATTTGAACACCGTTAAGCAAAGCAGGTGGGGCGTGGGCAGGGAAGCGCCACGGCTCCAAGGGACGACGGTCAAGAATAAAGACGGAGTGGTAGCCAAGGAATGGACTGCTGTCCAAGGGACATCCACCGGGGAGACGGAGCGGTGAAATGGACTCGTATGCCGGGTGCCAATCGGATCGTCGTGTTGCAGAATCGCGAGAGGTGGTGGCGGCTTGGGGAGGTCTTCATCCAGCAGTGGATTGACCACGGCTTATGACGATGAAGATGATGTGGACGTGTGGCACTTTCGAAAGATAATAAAGAAGTGCCTACTCCGTTGCGTTTTGACAACAGTCTCCAGGAATTTACCGACTTAACATTTACTTTTGCCGACAAATATTCTAAAACGCGTGATGTTGATTCTAAAGGAGGGAAAAACCGCAGGACCCAGAGAAAAATCCACAAGACCACGGGGAGAGAACATGCAAACTCCAAATATACATCAGGCGTCAGGGGTCGGGATCACACCCATGACATCCTGTATACCAGGCGAGGAAGTTAACATCCCACCACCGAACGCCCCCCCCCCCGTGCGCACACGCGTGGATCAAGATGAAGTTGACTCCGTGTTGTCCTGCAAAGGGGCCCTCCCCCACAGTTGCGGAGGCCTTTGCTGGGGGAGGTCGCTGCTGTCCCATCTGGCCTCCGATGCCTTTGCAATAACAAACAACGCGCCGCCCCCCCCACCCCAGTAAGCCCACCACCGCCGCCGCCAAGCCAGCTGGCCAGGCCCTCCAGAGAGAACGCTCAGATCGAAACAAACACGGCGCTTGCGCTCGCCCGGTCACTCCGCGTCGCCGGCGACCTCCTGTGCAATTAGTCCTGGCATTGTTTTGCGTGACCTTCACGGCATCCTCCTCCTGCCTAATGCCTTTCTTCAAAACGTGTTCCGTGACGATGTCCATCCTCTTGCCGCTGGCTTCTTCCTCCTCTGTCAATCTGCTGTTGTCGTTTGTCTGTGCCGACAGCCTTCACTGTCGGCCGAGTGGAGAGCCCACGGACAGCGCGCGGGCTTGCGAGTGCCGGCAACTGGGGAAGGGTTCTACCGGTGTGCGTTCAGGTCATACCGCGTGCCATTTGTTCGGCACCGTCTCTGTTGTCAGTACCCTGAGAAGTATATTCGGTCACGAGGTTGTTGTTTTTTTTTATATAGAAGCAGCGAAACGCAAATTGCATAAATCGCTTGGGTTTTCTGGTTTGGAAGTAACTTTGCTTCTTTTTGTCGTACGACTGCCGATGTATATGCAGAGCAACAACTACAATTTAATAACAAGGTGGTCAAGCCAGATAACCGCAGCAGTAGCAGCGGAGTGTATCGCCACGACGTCCCCTTCATATTTGTGGATCGCACATTTGCGTCGTACGGTCTGTTCTGGATGACCACAGGTCGCACAGAACTCGAGGGGTTTTAATTTTCCATGTGTGCATCAGGTATCCGCATCTGTCATGGTTTGTGGGGATGGTGTTTCGGGTGGACCACGAGCTTCGTGGAAGATCAAACTCGAGATCTTCTGTGTTGGGTCTTTCACAAGAAGTAACTTTACTTCCCGGGGTGGAGCGGCAGCAAAGTGATGGGGGCGCTGCGCTATGAACCCCTGGGACACGAGTTAAATTCCTGGCCACGGCTATCGATGTGAGCTCGCGAGCTGACATCCACCTGCACTCACCAACGTGGTGAAGAATGGTCAAACAACCACCATGAGCAGGGGTCGGCCACCAAACTAACAAGAATCCGTAACAATTTAAAAAACCCCTCAAATATTTCAAGAACCCGCAATGCATGCGAATACGAGACGGTGAGTTCGAAGCAGTCCTTAAGAGAATCGCGTGCAGTTCTGGGGCCACAGGTTTCAGACCCCTGCCCGTGACTGACACGGCATGGGAAGGCTTTCACGAGCGGCAGTAGTTTGACAAAGGGCTGCGGTATTTTGTTATAACTTGCGAATTGGACTCGACGACGTATTATACATTTATTATCATAGTGGATTAGATTGATTTAACCTTGGAAATACGTGCGCTAGGCCTGTTGACTTTGTATTGTGATCTATTAGGCATTGGGCTCTGCGGCTGTCCCCGCGTTAACCCAAGCTGCTGACACCATCACTTCCCCCTTTTGTTTTTGGGATTTTTTTGTCAATTATATAATTTTTTTATTCATGTAAACGTGACAAATGATCAACCGTCACGTGCCAAATATCAGCATTACGATTACACAGGAGAAGCTGAGTAATGTGGGACTAGCATTATCTGCTTTTAGTTATCGGAACACTGTAAACATTACAGATTCAAGCGGGAGAGACCGAGTGTCGAAACCGGTCTAGAGTTTTTGCTCGTATTGAATCAATGCTGCTGAAATGATGCCCTCCCAGAAACTTGTGTGGCAGATGGGCTGCGTATGGTTTACGTAAAGAGCCCGATTTGCTGGCTTATTTTGACTCCAGTCAAGGATTATTCCCCAAATCACAGCCACTGCAAAAAGAGCGCGGCTTTATTCCCAGTGCATTTCACTGCCGTGGAAACGCTCATGGTGGTGCATGCTGGGAAGTAAACATTCAAATTTAATATAATTTTGGGAAATTTGTATGCAATAAAAAAAAGTGTTGTTTTACAATCCTGTACTTCTACGAGCAAAAAAAGCTCCGTTTTTATTTACCGACTAAATATTCCAGCTGCGCCACCGGAGTCTCGTCACGGCACAAAGGGGTTCAATTTCAGAACTCTCCACTGTGAGCAGTGGGGAAGTGTAGAAGAGAAAACAAATCACAGTTTTGCTGAATACAGGCCAATATGCCCAAAATTCCAAGCAGCCAGCAACAAACAGAACTACAAAAAGTGTAAGAGATAACGGAGATAACTGGTTTCTTTCATTAAGCTCAGTTATAAGAACTTTGGAATAGGGATGACGGGAGCGAATTCCAAAGTCAAGCAGTGTGAGGAATAAAAGCAGATGGAGAAGTGTTGTGACCTGCAGTGTGGCGAGTGCGTGGGTGATGTTGTGACTTGCAGTGCGGCGAGTGCGTGGGTGATGTTGTGACCTGCAGTGCGGCGAGTGAGTGAGAGTGGTGAGCTGCACGCTAGCGTGGTGGTTGAACACAGCATGAATCAATCAGTGAAGTTCAGGGGCATGATAACCATGGTTGTAGTGATAGTCGAACGATAAGGAGGCAATTGACCGCCAGCGATCGAGTAACTAGAGTAAATCAGTAAGTGCCGGATCACAAAAGGTGATGTCACGAAATCTCTGAAGGTCACCTCAAGGGACCTCTTCACTACACTAGGGACATCACCTCTTCACACGCCTTGCTAAGCGTCTGTTTCACGGAAAAATAATAATTTTAAAATTGTAATCGTTAGCAGTATGCTGGATCAAGTGACAAACCAAAATGTAACGTGACGATTTTTTGGTACAGCCATAGGGCAACCGGGCTGAAGTCATCGGCTCGCCAGACGCAATATCTCGTTGAACCATATGGGTGGCCGAAGTCTGGCCCTTGAACCCAAGGGAGCTCTGCGACGCTTACCAAGCGTCTCCGCAAATCTTACAATCTCGCCCGAGCAACACGGGCCCCCTGGAAATGGGAGCAATCTGAAGGCATCGCACCGCCCAGTGAAAACCTGCTGATGTTTGCACACAGTCTTACAATAGCCAAACTGGCCGCGTGCATGCATGCACGTGCGTTTTTGATTGGTCTCGCACAGCTCGGCCAAGAACAGCGCCTTATCCGAACCCACCGTTATCTCGACGTTCTGATGGAAGCGGCGTCTTCCCAACGTAAATAAACCGATTTAAAAATAATACACAAAAAAACACGCACGGTGGAATTTTACAAGTTTCGTAAGCGCTCTCCAGACTTCCGAGACCTCAAACTAACATCCACTATCACTCTGCACAACATACTCACCGGTGGCTCATCCTATGCACTGCCATAGGAATGTGGAATTTCCACCATGCTTCTGAGCCACTTAAGGAAGTATAGCAACCCTCCCCCACCCACCACAATGCTCACCTCTGCGGGACGATTCGGACTTTTTCCAGACAAAACCCTTTCCTTTTCGAAGCAGGGTTTCATGGCCAATACCACGATGACATGTACTTTTTGAAAAAACTCTCAACACATTTATCAATAACACTGTGGCCTTAAAAAAAAGATACAATGCGTGATGTTTCGGGCAATGCTATTGCACAATGCAGCAGCAGCAGCACCACCAATTTATTTGTTTTGATATTTTTTTTTTTTGGGGGGGGGGGGGGGATTGGCCACACGTGGTAATTTTTCTGCCAAAAACTCTTGACATGAATCCCTCCGCCACCCGACAAGATTGTCACATTTACAAAAGAGATTGTTTACAGGTGGCCAATGCAGTGATAAAAATTATGAAAAAGTTCAAAGTGGCTTTGGGGTTTTATATCTTTAAAAATATATAATTATGGATAAAAAAAAATCTCTGTAGAGGCCGTAAGAATCAAAACCACACGTTTGGGCAGGCACCAGTGACATAGACTCAGGCATTAACACGAATCACGAGCGTGAGAATT